AATTAATCCAAACTAAACCAAACACTATTATTTAAAGTTAATGTTTAATTTTCTCTTTTTTTTTTCACCCTCAATCTTGCTTATGTCTTTACTAGCTCGTAGTGTACTTTAATTACTCTTTTAACTTCCGAACTTACCTTCCCTTTGGTCAAAACCCAAAAACTTCAAATTATCCCAGCGGGAGATTGCTATTTCCAACCTTCCGGGCGTGACTTTCTTTTTTATGTTTAAAGGTTATAGTTTGTCATTTTATTTAGTTGAAAATCATTATCGAATTAAAAAAATTAATGTTTTCTAAAACCTTGATTTTTTTTTTACTTAAAATTCTTTAATATTCAATAATTATTTTAAACTTCAATTAATTTAAAATTAAATCAAATCAAATTTTATAAGAAAATAAACGCTTTTAAATTTATTTTTTATTTACAAAATTCAAAATAAAAATTTTATTTAAAAAAGTTAAAATTTTTATTATTCGAACCAACAGACGTTAATAACTTTAGTTTATTTTCGGTTACAAATACGTGGACATGTTATTTAAAGCGTTCAAGTTCTGTCGTTTTGGGTTTATGGTGTTCATTGTAAAATTACCAATGCTTTATCAATTTTCTTGATAAAAAATACATCGAAAAATTTCTAGAAATGGTCAAAATTCTTTTTTTTTAAATTTTTTTTGAAGTATAGATGATTATCTTATCCTAAACCGTCCATTCCCCACAGGCCTACGGCTGTCCATTGGCTTCACACTCTCCCTCTTTAACTCGTAGCATCTTCTATTCTACGCCATAAATTTTTGTCCACTTTAATTCCCACAAAAGGAAGAAGGAAAATGATGAAAGAGTTCATGATTGGGGATAGGGTATAAACGAATAGAGATTTTGATAAATTACTTGTGAATATATTTTATTTTTATTTATTAAATTTAACAAATAATTTTAAATAATATTTATATATTTATTTATTAAATGAATTAAATACAAATCAAAATTTATTTGGTTCATTTATATTCATAAATAAATTAATTTAAAATTAATTTATTTATTATTCATTTTTGTTCATTTATAATAATATTAATAAAATTATATTTTTATCATTTAACTTAATCTTATTTTGAGATTGATTTATGTTTATTTGAGTTCGTTTACATTAATTTAGAGTTTGCTTGTTTAAATTTATTTAGTTATGATTTGTTTATTGTTCATAAATATGTTTGTTTATATATGTTCGTGAACATATTCGTTTAATATTCATAAATAAGTTCGTTTAACTTAAACCGAATACGAATAACATATTATTTAAATGACCGAATATGGATTAATAAAATAATTTTTTTAACGAACACGAATATCTTTAAAAATAAATGAATAATACAAATATATGTTTATTTATTCATGTTCGATTCATTTACAACCCTATCTATGATTCAAAAAAAAAAAAAGATAAAAATAATAACAATGTGTAGATAATATGAACTTTAAAATACTATTTGACTATCATATGCAATATAAAAAAATTTTCATTTTCAGTAATATATATTCCTTCTCTTTAATAACTAACCCCAAATATCAAGATATTTTAATTGCATGCATCAACTTTTTTTTTAATAACTTTTCAAGGTATAACGTGACAGTATATATATTTTGAAAGGCATTCATTTTATCTCCTCAGCAATTAAAAAACAAGAAAAAGTTATTTAGATGTCAAAATAACACTAAAATGGATATTGATCAGTTATTCACATTGCCATGTTACAATTTATAGATTACAATGTCACATATGAGTCAACAGAAGGATTAACAACTGAATTCCCGAGAAAACTATGCTCATCAACAAGAAGAGAATTTGTTTATGCAAAGGACTAAAAGGAATTAAAAATCAATGTCAAAAAATACAAAGTTTGTTTTTTTTTTTTTTGATAAGTTAAAGATCATGAGTTCAACATTTTGCAGCCATGTTTGATTGATTAGAACTCAGAAGAATGCTCGGCTACGATAACAACCCTCGTTCTATCCTTTTTTTTTTTTTTTTTTTTTTGGTTCTAGTTTCGAATCACATGATCACCACGATCTTCACGTTCGGATTTGTCGAGATTCATTTGGAGCTTCATCTTAGCCAAAGATTCAGTAAACTGTTGCATGCTCCTCATGTACATGTCTACTGTTTGTTGCTGCATTGCTAACTGTTCTGCCTCAAGATTGATGTTTCCAAATTTAAGAGAATTCATGTTCCCTTATTTGTCGCTCTCTTCTTCCTTGCTAGAATAATTTGAGTATTTCACCTCTCTAGCTTCACTTCCTTTCTTTGACGTTAGAGTATCCGGACAAGCACCTGGGCTTGGATTAGCCTCAGTAGTGGCTGATGCATTTAAGGAATTTGATGACTTCCCATCAGGAGGACTCTTCTTCTCAGCAGAGTCAGCTGAGTTCTTATCATCACTCAGGCTTGTAGTAGTAGCTAGAACCCAAAAACCCAGAATTTTGAAGGCTTCCATTTGGAGAAATGGATCCACCATGATGTTCTTCAGATGAATTTGCGGCCATTTCATAATCTTCAACATGCTGATGAGTGGCACCAAGGTGAATAAATAGCAATTCCTGGCCTTGAATTCAAACCATCATAATATTCAGAGACAATTTGCTGACTCTCCCTAACAACATTGATATCACGGAATTCTATCCTCGAATACTCAACTGGGTCTAAACTAACTTCGGAGATTTTCCGGTCAAGCAATACTACTTGTGCTGACATTGAAGAATTGATTGTAGTGGTTTCAAGAAAGGAATTGGCCTGGGAATTGACAGGCATAATAGTGTTCAAATAAACACTCAATTTGACAGTTCCAGAAGGAAAATGGAAAAGATCAGTGGAAGATAGGTTATAATCTTGAGTGACTTTTCCTTCGCCAACGACCTGTGAAATCAGAACCAATGCAAATCCCAAAGCTGATCTTCCATGTAGTTTCTGGCCCTACTGAACATCCAAATCTCACATTTGAGGACAGCATCAGTTTGAGTGACTTTCATCATCAAGTTTTCGTTAAATTCCGGATTCTTTCCACCTCCATTGATGAATCTGGTCGAGTAGGTATTGTCAGGGTTATAGGTGAGAGAAAATTTGGCATAAACATCTTGGTTGTCATAGATACATATGTTCCACTAAACTGCTCTAATGGTTGGTGAGGGAATCCATGAATTCTAGGACAAGAATGGAAGGAAAGGTGAGAGAGAAGAACACTTACAAGGTTGAGGAGCTTGATGTGTGCAAGGTGAGTAGAAAAGAAAATAAAAAATGTTGTTAACGAAGATGATGATGATGTTACTTATGGTTGTTTTATTTTTTCATGCTGCTCTTGTCTTCCTTTTGGGGTGGGTTGGGGATATTGATTTTTGGTGAGGGATTGCTTTGCTTGACATTGCAGCTTCCACTTCCAATAACTAAATTTACTCCACTCAGTAAAAATGGAGGTCCCACTTGACACCCCCATCTTCATTATCAGCTTTCTCATCTCTCCCTTTTGGATGCACCCCTAAAGCTTTTAGACAGGATAATCCCACTCTATTCCATTTTTTTCAGGACATTAAGAGAAGAAATGACTAAATAGTGCCATAGCAGCATGATGAAAAGAAGATAAATCATGAATTCGGAATGTAACTTAGTAGATTCATATAAATCACATTTAAAATGGAATATCTAAAAGGATTAGAATTCAAATTTTAATATATATAATTCATTCTAAGTTAAAATCTCCTTTTATAAAGTGTGTATATATATATATACATATATATAATCATTTTTGAAAGGGAAGAGAAAATTGAGTAATTTGTTTAATTTTTATACTCTAGCAGCAAGAGAAATTTAAGAAATTATTTCATTTTAGCCAAAATATTTGAAAAAAAAAAAGAAAAAAAAAAAAACAAGAGAAACTCTAAATCGACTAACACAATGAAGTAAAACTTGGTTAGATTGACGAGTTCTACAAATTGTTACTACTCTACCTATAGGTGTCCATCATGCTATCTTGATCACCGTAATAATTGTTAATACATATCAAAATTTCAAATCTCTAAGCCTATTATGCCAAACTATAGTTGGAACTTGTAAGTGTAATTTACACTGTATGTGGTCCAAGATTGTTTATCACCATGCTTGATATAAAAGAAAATTATGAAGAATTCAAACACATAAATTGTTCAGTTCCTTAAAGTATCAAGAAATTCATGATATTAAAAAAATCATATATTTGAGATTGAATAAGGTAATAAAGACATCACTATTAAGATATATATTAAATTTAGGGACGTAAGAAGTGTATTAAATTAGACAGAAATATGATATAAATTGAATAAAAATGCTTGGAACAATGATTAGTGATTTTGTTTCTACAGTCGTTTGGTTGACTTAAATCAAGAAGTTGCATATGCCAACTCTTCCTCAGATAAAAAAAAAATGGTTTTGTTTCATTTTCTTTCACTTCAATAAGAAACATGTTGAATAATTTCTCCAAAATCCAAATAAATTCAAGAACGGCTAGTATCACCACGTTCAGTCAACAGCAAAATTCATGTTGGAAAGCGAAAAATGGAACTCAAATTTGAAATCAAGGTAGTCAGAAATAAGAATTTTCATTTCTTATATTTTAGGAAGTCAATTAATTAAGCTTGCTAGGATGACTATGACCATGGACTAGTAAATTGCAATCCTCTGTCCTGGTTCCTTGATCTAATACCATGTGGAGAATGGAAGTAAATGTTGGGTTGTTGGATTTGGTGAAAGAAAAATTGAACAACACTATGAAACAAACAAATGAATGAAGAGAGAGGGGTGAAATAGAAGACATAACTTGGATCAAATCATCAAACTACATTGAATAGATAATTTTTCATGTATTTGTTTGTAGATGGTTTTATTTATTCAGTGAAACAACAGGCGAACATTTATACCCTATAGTTGCCCAAATAATAATCACATTTCCAAATCCCAAACAAAATCTACAGTGTCAGAGAAAAAAGAAAGATTTTTTTTTCTTTCTTTTAGGCTGAAATACTATACAAGACTTGGAATGTAATTTGTTAGTTAATGGAACTAATATATGAAAGTCACAACAAATCCCCACCTAGTCACCAACCCATTGTTCCATTATCCATCCAAAAACAAGGGGCAATGTTATTATTTTGTTCCAGAGAAAGAAAGAAAATACTGTACAAAGCGAGGACCAAATACAGGGCTTAAGGTGTATCAACCACCTTATCCTTTGGTACAGTGGTTTATTAAACACTTCACGTCAAAGAAATCACTTCCGCCCCAGCCTCATCAAATGCTCTTGATGTTTTTCTGCGGCTGCCTTATCAGCTGCCTCACGCTTAAGCGTTCGCTTTGCCCGTCTCCCCATTGTACTTTTTGCAACCTCCTTCTCTTTCTTCTTAGGCTCACGCGAGGAGCCAGCACCAGAGTCCTGGAAATTGGATCGTTGAACAGGCCTGGCTTCTTGGCGACCTGATCTTACATATCCACTATCACCCCATCTCCTATTGCCGATGCGGAGATTTGGTGAACTGGTGTAATAAACTTCATCTTCTTCATCATCCTCGTCTTCATATTGATAATAATAATGACCTTCCAAATCATCATATGCCTCTTCACGATCCTCCACAATCAATGGTTTAAACCATGTCGCTCGAAGAAGCAGGCATACACTTTCCTCAAACATGTAGTCATGGATCCTGATAAAGCAAAAGGCAAAAACTCAACTACTGGGAGATGGCAACCATAACAAATCACACTTACATAGAGGTCAGGAGAGACAACATGTCAAAGGCTTATAGTGAGGGATTCAATTATTCAGCAATAACTCTCTTGTATAACTCACTCATGCTGGCACAAAAACTCCCTCCCTTGCAATTGCCAACATGACCATTGCTATTACCTCCAACCAAAGAGCATATCTCTTATAAAAAGAGGGGAAATGGAGGATTCAAGATTACCTGCCATCGAGTGAACGATGAACATTGAGGAACTCAAATGGATTTTTGCACTGAGGGCATGTAGGCATCTGTCTGTATGTTGCCCATTGCAGGATGCACGTCACACTGCAAGAACAAAGATTGAAACACCCATAAGAACTAAAATCCCATCCCAATCCACTGAAATATGAAATGTTATATATGTCAAATGCGAAGCACATTGCAGCATAGAAACACAAGAAAAAATAAATTGCCAACTTGATCCTGCACTGACAGAGTAAACAAGTCAATTGGCGAGTCTACAAAAACATGATAACCCAATTTTTCCAAAAATTGATAATCTGAGAAGTTGAGAACAGAGCTCCACCAATGAAAGTAATCAAGATGGTAAATCTACAAGTACCAACTAATTGACGATTCCAACAGAAGTTGATCTGAACAAATGAAACACAATAAGCAGCAGAAAGTTTTCCATTTCTTTTCTAAATAATCATAATTAGAGAAAGAAAACCCAGATCTCATCCACAAAGTTGGACGAGATCTCATCCACAAAGTTGGATGAGAAGTAGTATGATTACCAAGTTAGAATACTAGCAAGGAGAGGTTCTAAATCGTCTAACTCAGCCGTTAATTTTAATAAAATAGTTGAACACATCACTCACACCAAGAACCACTCACAGACTCGGAAGAGACTGAATAATAATTAGCCATTCTTTTGAAGTCTTTAAATCAAATGCAGAATCAAGACCATTGCAATAATGATTATCAATTAGTTTCACAAAAAAGTAAGAAACACAAAATCTTATGGATTTAAAATCCCAAGAAATCTTCTATTACGATAACCTCCAAAAATTTTAAAGCTTATAAAATATGTACTAATTAATTAAGACAACATAACCATCAAACTAGATCCAAAAACAATGTAAAAATTCCCCTTTTCCCCCTTCCCAAAACAGAGGACATGCTTCAACACCATAAGCATTACAATAAATTGGATCCTACAAATAGCCAACACCAAGGCATCTAATCAACTACATATTCCGTGAACCCAACATCACAAATTAGATCTTTCTTAGAGACTAGAGCCTTCTTTTTTCACTATCAGATTTTTTTTTCCCTGGAATATATACTCAGAGATGAATTCAGAAAGTTTAACAAGGGTAAATGTAGTGGTCATTATGGGTCCTCTGGTTTAGAGATTGCGATATCATAGTATGAGACAGAGTTAAGGCCAAGTAATGCAGTCCCTCTGATTTAAAACAATCTTAGTAATCTAATTTAACTGGTTTGTTCACCTGTAGATAGAAAAGGAGGCAAATGGAATCCTTAGGGAGCAGAAACATTGAGTGCACAAAATGTTATTATTGGACAGAGTAACTAACTGCTCGTCCTGGGTTTTAAATTGCTTCTTAACTTATAATGAAACCCCAGTAACTTATTTCTTAAGTCTTACTTCCAAAATAGACTACTAGTTCAACAAAACAAACCAACTTTTTTGCAGTTTATAGACACACAGACAACAAAGCGTGCATTTAGAGATATAGCATTAACAGAATCACAAACCATTCAACAAGTTCCCTAGTTATCAGCATAAACATGCAAATGACGGACTACAAAAAACGTACCTCTTATATTAAATTTTGGCAATATAAACCATGATTTCAAAAGGTGGTACGAAAGCAATGAACTTTTCAATTAACTCCCACTGTGAGGCGCAGAGTAGGCCTCATAGAATGCAAGCCATCACAAAATCGTAAAACAAAAGAAACAATTGAAAAGTAAGTGAAATGAGTAAGAAAGGAAACAACAATAAACTTATTAAAAACAATGAAAATCTCAACAAGGCTCTTGACATTTCTTTTGCAAATCTCTTCTACAAAGTCCAAACCTTTTATAGGGTATTAGCATTTCTTGACAAGCTATGGAACAATATAAAAAAAACGAATTTAACAAAAGTATCATCAAAGTACCATGTGTCTCAAGGGAGATGGAGAGAGACTGGTATACATATCCAAGCATTCAATGTCTAGAATTTCTAACTATGTTCATTTGTTAGATGTATGATATTAAGAGCACAGCCATACATGTTGAACTTAACATATCTCCTCTATTCTAACGTCTTTGTTATATTTGTCAGACATCATATATATAAATGTGTAAAAAAAGGAGATATGTTGGCTTCAACGTCCGTACCCATAGCATCATCCTTGATCAAATTAACATGACATCTTCTAAACCCACAGAACACGAGACCCACCCATATTATATTTGGGTGAGATCTGCATTGTAACCTTCCAACCGCATCAAAATGCTTGTCAATGTCCTAAGGTTCTCCTAAGTGTTCTCCTTTTCACAAAATGACAACACCATAGACTCAACTCCTCCTGTGACCCTAACCTCCCTTACCGCTTAGAAAACTAAATACCAACAGTTACCAAAACTGTAGGGAAAAAGACAAGCTGAACAAGAATCCGGACTAGTATAGAATTCTAAATAGTTGAGCAAATCTAAAAGCTAAAGAATTTATTATCAACAAAACAAAAAATTAAATCCTACAGAGGGACTATCACAACAACAGCAATGACAATAACAAAATAAAACTCCGATTTCTAGGGAAATCTAGAAGGCTTAAAATTGTAGAGAAGCATGGAAATAGAACATATCCAAGAAAAACCACGTAGGAATAATTATAAGTGTTAGCAAGGGACAGATTAACAAACCAGTAAGCATGCTCGCAACCTTTTACGAGTGCAGTTTCCTGCAGCACAATCTTATCTAAACATATCGCGCATATTCCACTATGATTTTCAAAACCCTCCACGCCAGCAGCCTCTTCATTCTTCATTTCGTCCTAAACAAAAATCGAATAAACCAAACAAAAATTCAATAAAATTGAGTTACAAATAAACCTCTATTAAATTACCAAAAATACCATTGTCAAAATTTTAAAAAAAAATGTTTCATACGCAAGACAAAGGAACAAATTAACAGAGAAAAAATCAAAATTACTAAACAGTACATAGCCATTAACTAACAATTTCTCATTTTTCCCCTTTCTTTTCTTTTCAGTTTTCTCAGCAACCAAACAACATAAAAAATTCCAAAAAAAAAAAAAAAACTAATCCCAGAGGAAATATAAAACAGATCTGGTTCTAAAACTAAAAAAAAAAAAAAATTAAGAAAAGAAAATGGAAAGAAAGAAGAAGAAAGAGTACCTGATCATGAATCGAGAGATTGGGAAGGGCGTTGACCAGTTGTTCACCGTCGATCTTGACGACTGAAGTCATGGTTTTGATTTTAAACTTTTTTTTTTCTTCTGAACTAATCTAAAATTTTGATTCTAATTTACAGTGCAAACCTAACCTAACAAACGAATTTTTACTTTTATATGGAAAAAAATGAAAAAAAAAAAAAAGAATTTTGAGATGCCCACGAATTATTCTTCTGATTCCACAGAGAGAGGACCCCCTGTGGGAAATTGATTATTTAACAAAGAGGGGCCGAATGTGGATGACAAAAATGTCGTTTATTTTTTTATTTTTTAACAGGAAAAAAATAAAATAAACAAGTTTTTTTTTATGAATTTTTCCAAACTTTTTGGGGGTGACACAAGTCATTTTGGTGGCAGCATGTGGTAAGAACACGTGTGTTTTATGGTCACCGCTTTGTTCAAAATCACAGGCTGTTTCCCAAAAAAATTTTTGAAAAAAAGTTTATATTTTTTAAATTGGAAGAGTTTTTTTATTATTTAGCTTAGTTAATAAAAAATATTTTTTGTTATTATTTTTGAAAATTTTATTTTTTAAATAATATTAATATAATTATTAAAATATTAAAAATTATTTTTTATTAAAAATATTGTCATTATTTATTATTAAAATTATTAATATTAAAAAATAACTATATAATAATAATAATATTTAATATTAAAATATTATATTAATATAAAAATACTTAAAATTTATTTATTATTATAATATTATTAATTAAAATTAATATATTAGTATAATATTAATACTATATTATTTATTTATAAGTAAAATTATGTTAAAAAATATTGATAAATAATTTTATTCATAAATAATTTTTTTCCAAAAAATATTTTTACTTTTCAAATTCTTAAAATATTTTTTTTTTAAATAAATTTATTTTTTATTGATAAAAAATCATTTTTCAGTAATTAATTAATTTTTATCAAATAAATATTTAAAAATATAAAAATTATTTTTTAAGAATTATTTCTTACGAAACAAACGGAATTAATTTAAGTTACAAAAGTTTTTGGTTTTGATTAGGTAAAAAAACAGAAGTCTTTTGTTTTTATTTTTTTTTTCTCTCTAAGAAAAAGGATTCCGTGGAGAATATTGGGTCAAAAACGTAAGTTAATTGGAATTAATCCTCCTTGAATCTTTATTTTTTTTTTCTGCTGTGCAAGAAGAAAGAACCCGGACCCTTTCATTTGAGATTGCGTATTCCTTGTTTGTTTTTCTTGGATAAGGCAAATGTTTTTTCTCGGAAATCACGAGACGAGAAGTCACGTAAACAGTGTAATTATATAATGTCCTGGAAATCAAAAAAACATTAAAATAGGAAAGCCCGAAATGTATGGTCGGACTCGGAGCTGTCCATCCCATCAGAATTGGATTTGGGCCCCCGTTAAGCATAGAGGTGGGTGGGAACGGGCTTTTAACTAAAAAATTTCACGATTCCAATGCTAGATAAGATAAATTAAAAATAAAAAAATAAAATTTTTAGTTTTATGTTGAAAAAGTTTGGTTTTTATAAACCAAATGTAAAAGCCCCTTTAAAGATCAACAGCATTTTTTAAATATAAAATTATTTTTTTAACATTTTAATACACCACAATATTTTTCATAATAATCTTAAATATTTAAATTTTTTAAATCATATTTTTTATTATATTTTTAAATACATTTTTTTAGATCAAATTTTTTCAACTTGCAACGATAATAATAAATTAAACCTTAAAGCTAGACATTGCTATTTAAGTCCACCCCAATCAAATTGATATGAATTTAATATATGTTTTAATGTCAATTTCTTATTTTAAAAATAGAAATTCGAACTCTCCTCTCAAATATTCAGATGCATTTTACTGTCAATATTAATACATTTATTCTCTATTGGAAATTGACTTATTGTTGTCCTCAAGAAAGTTATTTATAACTTGAAATTTTATTTTATAAATTTTTTATTCAATTCTAAAATTTTATGAGATTAAAAAAAGTTATATTTCGGTATATAATTTAAATATATATTTATAAAAAATCATTGAGATTTTCAAAATCCAACCCTCACATGGAACTATTTGGAGAATGAATGTTCTCATGTGTAAGCATTGCCTCAACACAAAAATCTTAGTTCATAACTTTGTATTTTAGCAAATTTATTAAGGATTATTGTTTTATGAGCGATCATGTATTTTTTTTTTCCAATAAGAGATCAAGACCTAAGAGTGAATCTCAATCTTGTTAAAAACTACCTTTTAAAAATTAGATAAATTATTTGAGTTAAATCTCGGGTTTATGTATTATTTTTTTTTTATTAATTTATTAATTTTTAAAATTTAAAATAATAAAAAGCTTTTAAATTTTATTATTTATTTAAAGATAAACCTTGATTCTTTAATTTTCACCCTAATAAACCCTTAACTTTTAGTTTATATCAAAATAAAGGTTTATTTATATACAAATTAAAAAATAATTTATTTAAGTACAATAAAAATATAAAATTTTATTTAAAAATAAAATAATTCAAGAGATGTGACAAAATTTCTTACTCATAAATCATGTCATCTTTTTGTTTTTTTCAAAAGCATTTTACATGATTGTAGTATAGAATCACAATTTAGAATTGTGTGGCTTCCACCACAATTTTATGTAAACTTTACACTTATAAGTGATTAATCCCAATATAATTATTTATTTTAATTGGATAATTTTAATATTATAGTTAAAAAATTATAAGTGCAGTGACAATTATTGACATTTAACTTTGGAGGAATCAATTAATAATATATCTTTTATATGATCTCAATTAATTTGAGATATTAGTAGGAATATAATAATTAGGTTGTTATGCATTAAGAAAAGGCAAAGTCATTACCCCAACAAGAAGTGCAATAAAGAAAATAGTTTCAATATCGACTCATTCAACCTAATCTTAAGTACACAAGCAATTTGTAGAAGCAAAACTATTAATTTTAAGCAATAACTAAATTAAATCCATGTGATGCATGAGAATATATTTATATATCAATAAATTTATATAATATAAGCTTTTTTTTAATTATAAGTTAAGATTTTATATTTATGACCAACTCAAAATTTATATATTTAGAGTTATATAATACAACAAAATATAATATAATAATATTTGTTTTAAACATAACATAAACCTTAAACACTTTAACATATAGAATGAAATTAAAATTAAAATATCAAAACGGACATTCAATACCTTCTATTAAAGTTGCAAAAAAAAAAAAAAAACAATTAATATATATGAAAGGATAGGCTTTAAAGCAAAAAAATTATGTCAGAAGTATAGGAAATATTAAGAAAACGATTAAATTTTATAATGATCTTGTAGTTTGAGACTTTTTTTTTTAATAGAGAATTTGAGAAAACTAATCTCAACTCATATGTTAGAAACAACATGGATAATTGTTCTAGTGGAGCATGATTAATTATTATTGTTTATTTTAGTTGAACCCCTATTAGATAATATTTATAGTGTTGAAAAGCAAACCAAAAATAGTAAATAAAATTAATTAAGAGAGATATAAGTTATTAAAAATAAATGTTATTAATTTAAGCAAAATCAAATTAAATTAAGAATTAAAATTAATTGAGAGAGATTTAATCTATTAAAATAAATGTAATTAATTTGGTTAGAATCATATTAATTAAGAATTAAAATTAATTGAGAGAGAAATTTAAGCTATTAAATATAAATACAATTAATTTAGTCAAAATCAAATCAATTTAACTCAAATAAATACATCAAGTAATGGATACATGATAATTATTTAAAGCTATCTACATTTCAAAATATTATATCATCCACAGGGTAATTATCTTTTTTGCCAAAGATTTTGGCTTTTATATATTTATATAAGATTAAAAATAAATTTGATTAATTTAATCAAAATCAAATTAAATTAAAATTTGAAATTAATTAAAAAGGATTTAATGTATTAAAGTAAATGTAATTAATTTGGTTAAAATCAAATCAATCTTATATAAATATATAAAAGTCAAAGCTTTTAACAAAAATAGAAAAAAAATCTCATGTGGATAGCTTAAAATATTGACACGTGAAGGGTTTTAAAAATCGTCACGTGACATATAATAAATGCATTTTATTTTTTATAATATATTTTTAATTTAAAAAATTAAATGTATTATATTTTATTTTATAATATTTTAATTTAAAAAAACTAAATTGATTATATTTTATTTTTATTATTAACTTTAAGTCACTCTCAATTCAATTCATATTAAAAGTATTAAAATTTTAAAAATTTCTTAATTTGACAAATTAAATCAATCAATATATAATTATTAAATTATTAAATTAATAAATACTGCAATTACAATTATAAAATAGTTAATTCTCTAATCAATTATTTAATACATTTATATTTGATTAAATATTGTATCTATTTGAGTAATTAATGTATTTCATGATGTATTTCATATATAAATATATAAAGCAGATATATCAAATTAATTCTCTATAATTAAATTAATGGAATAAAATATTTTATTAATTTATATTTGATTGATACATTTATATTTCATTAAATATGATTTTATTTTATTTTGATAAAATATTAATGCACATTGATTTTAATTGTTTTCATTTGTAATATTTTATAATTTTATTATTGGATATTAATGCACGATAATTTAATTAAAATTTAACTTGTTTTATTGCCATTATTAAATATAAAAAATTTAATTTTTTTATTATTTTAAATTAAAGGATCTCTAAATGTTAATGGTAGAAATATGATATTTCAATATCAATCAACTTGTCATTATTAGACCACTATTCACTCATAATTTTTAATATTTCAATATTAATTTTCATAATTTAAAATTATCTTATTAATTAAACATATTTATGTTTTTACTATTAACTTTAAATCACTTTCAATTTAATTTATATTAAATGTATTAAAATTTTAAAATTTTGTTAATTTGACAAATTAAGTCAATTAATATATAATTAATACTTTAATAAATACTACAATTACAATTATAAAATAATCGATTCTCTAATCAATTATTTGATACATTTATATTTGATTAAATATAGTATCCATTTGAGTAATTAATGTATTTCATGTGTAAATATAAAAAACAAATATATCAAATTAATTCTCCATAATTAAATTAATGGAATAAAATATTTTATTAATTTATATTTGATTGATATATTTATATTTCATTAAATATAATTTCATTTGGTAAAATATTAATGCACATTTGATTTCAATTGATAAAATAT